ATGATACTGAAACGACTTCTATTATAATAATTATTCATTAGAACCCAGTAAAACCTGCAAGTACCTCCAAGCTGTAGAATGAAAGCAAGGAGTTGAAATATGATGAAAAAGGCCTACCAGCAGGTGGGATGCCTACTCTGCCACCACATATGTGACTTTGGAAGTGACTTTTGCCCACACTGGCCTCATTGTCCCTATTTATATACTAAGGATCTTGTATTACGTGAACTCTAGGAATTCTCTCAGTATTATTCTAATGCCTGAAGTACCTGTTTAATAGTTTTTAAAATCAGAATTCATTCTTATGTAGTAATTTGAAAGATGGCATTTCTGCAAAATTATGTTTTTCTAGTATCTCTGAGAGGTATTACTACTTTTTAATCTTCAACTTAAAGTTAATAAGTATTGGAATTTTTCCTTGACAGTATCTTAGCCTGTTTCCCCCCACCAAAGGAAAATCTTGGTATTATACTGGTTCTTTCTTCTCAAACATACCTTTTTCCTTAAACTAAAAAGGCAAGGTCTAAGAGTAACTGTCTGAGAACCATCCTGGCTCACTTCAGTGGTGTTGAATAATAAGCCTGATAATACAGCAATTTGGTGTAATTCATTTACTTTATTCCATCTCCAAGATAACCTTAAGAAGCAACCATATTGGCCGGGTGTGGTGACTCACTCCTGTAATATCAGCACTTTGGGAGGCTGAGGCAGGCGGATCACAAGGTCAGGAGATCGAGACTATCCTGGCTAACATGGTGAAACCTCATTCTACTAAAAAAAAATATACAAAAAATTAGCCGGGCGTGGTGGGGGGCATCTGTAGTCTCAGCTACTCAGCTACTCAGGAGGCTGAGGCAGGAGAATGGCGTGAACCCGGGAGGTGGAGCTTGCAGTGAGCAGAGATCGCCCCACGGCACTCTAGCCTGGGCGACAGAGCGAGACTCTGTCTCAAAAAAAAAAAAAAAAAAGCAACCATGTTTCTTCTCTTTGTCCTATTTATCGGCCAGAAACATGGGGAAGGTAGGTTCCTGAATATCGAAAGACCACACAAAATGCAAAGAAACCAGGCTCACATTTATTTTAGTGACCACCAACGCAAGTTTGGTTTGGGTGAGAAGTTCTGTGTTCTGGGTTTGATCCTTGAGGCCTCATGAGTTTCAGCCCTGCTGCTGGAAGTGTCTTGGTTTTAGCCAAACTGGGAGGAAAGTGATATTGAATACTGGTGCAGTCAGCTCATTGGAACTGCTTTTCAAAGTGTTCAGGGACAGTGCCAGTGATGCTGTATTAGTTTCCTGTTGCCTTTATAACACATTAGCAGAAACTTAGTTGCCTGAAACAACAACTTACTGTTTTACAGCTGTGGAGGTCAGAAGCCTGAAATAGGTCTTACAAGGGTAAGGTGAAGTATTGGCAGTGCTTTGCTCCTTTTGGAGGCCCTAAGGAAGATTCATTCCTTGCCTTTTCTAGTTTCTGGAGGCTACCTGCATTCCTTGGTTCCTGCCCTCTTCCTCTTAGCACTCTGATCTCTACTTCCACCATCAGAGCTTCTTCTCTGATTTTAACCCTCTTGCCTTCCTCTTATAAGGACTCATGTGATTAGATTGAGCCCATCCAGACAATCCAGGATAATCTCCCCAAGTCAAGGTCCTTAAAAATATCTGCATAGTCCCTTTTTCCATGTGAGGTAACATGTTCATATGTTCTGGATATTACGGTGTAGGCATATTTAGGGCTCATTATTCTCCCTACCACAGATTCCTTCTAGTTATTAATGTTGTTACCTGGATGTTGCCTCCTTCTGGAGGCCTTCTGAGACACCCTTAGTCCTTCATCTTCCCTGGTCATTCTCAACAGTATTTCCCTGTTTTATTAAGTCTGAGAATACTATGTTTATTTTCTAAACTTGTTTTTAACTTAATTGTTCATTTTCTGTCTCCTCTACTATCAGATAAGCTGCACAGGAGCAGAAATATGATCAGTTTTCTTCACTACTTTATCCCCCAAATCTAAATAGCTCCCAGCACTTGGTAGGCTCTCAGAAGAAGGTTATTGAATGAATCAATCTGTATACAGTCTAAGGAAGCTTGCCTTATTTTAAAGCTATGTTAACATACTCCTGTTCCTATTACTATCAATAATGCAAACATTCTTACTAAGCAGTAGTTAAGAATTCTGTCAATGGATTTTCTTTTGAATTTAAGTACATGAGTTTCTCTTTGGGACATGACTGAGATCAATAAAATAAGATACCAGATGTAAAATGGAGCTGCAGGAAGCAGAAAAGATAAGAATTAGAATTAATGCAGACAGTAAATACCTTGTCAAGAAGAATTTTAACATTACCTCGATTCAAGCTGTAATCATGGATACCAAGGTGACTAACATGTGGCCCTCGCGTTGTTCACCACAGATTTGCAGCATTAATATTTCTGATTCAAAGGAAATTGAGGTAAGAGCTTTAATAGTCCTACAAGAAGAATGGAGGAGGGAGAGGTTCATTTTAACTGAAACATCATTTCTGGTAAGCAGAGGCTCTTTCCAAAACATGGTTGTTAGCACTCTAGGAAACTCAAAGAGCTTTAGGTGGAAGGAGTGACGTTATCCATTGACATCACTTTAAAAGCAATTTTAATGGAAAGAGTGTCTTTCTGTAAGCAGTTAATTTATAACTGTTCAGTTATTGTTCATTTATACATCCAGGGAACTGATAACAACCTTTGAATGAATCAGGCGATCAGAAGATCAACTAAATACCTGGTGCTGATCATTACTAAGGTCTTGATGTGATATTGACCTGTAGTGAGGAGGAGAGGAGGAGGCTAGACGAGGTTGAAAAGGCTTCATGGAAGAGAGGTGCTATGCACTGAATTGTGCCCTCCCCAAATTTATATGTTGAAACTCTAACCCCCAACATGACTGCGTTTGGAGATGGGAGACCTTTAAGAGGTGATTAAGATTATATGAGGTCATAAGGGTGGGACCCTAATCCAATATGACTGGCGTCCTTCTAAGAAGAGAGAGAGACACCAGGCATGTGCACTTACAAAGAAAAGGCTATGTGAGGACACAGAGAGAAAACGGCCATCTGCAGGCCAAGGAGACAGGCCTCAGGAGAAACCAAATCTACCAACACCTCAACCTTGGACTTGTAGCTTCCAGAACTGTGAGAAAATAAATTTCTGTTTAAGCCACCCAGTCTGTGGTATTTTGTTTTGGCAGTCCTAGACGACTACAGGTGGAACTTGATCTAAATCTTGAAGGATGAGTAGGGCTGTTTCTGGGAAACAGCTTTGGTGAAGGGTCTAGTTTAGAAAAGGGCTCAGCAAAATTAATGAATGAAAAAGCCACAGAAAATGTTGGAGTGAACATAGCTTTTGAACTAAAGAGCAGAAGAGAGAACTGAGTGTAGGTGGGCTATGGGTAGGTGCTTATATACCATTATGCCTGGAGTGGGGAAGGTGATTATGGAAGATCCTGAAATCCAGGGAGAAGGGTTTTTTTTTTGTTTTTGTTTTTGTTTTTTTTTGATATAGTAGAAAATCTAGGGCTTACATTTGGGATTTTGATAAGGAGTCAACTTTAGAAAAATCAGGGGATATGATATATGGCAGAGGTGGAAATGAAGAGTAAGGTGTGGCTCCAAGAACTACCATAAAAAAAGAAAACGAAGATTAGTTGGGGCTGGGTATTAGTTGAGAAGAGTTAGGAGTGATAGTTGAATGGCTAATGAGGCTCAGAGGTACCCAGGTAATTCTTAAGTTTTGAGGTTTTATGAGGATTAGAATGTGTTAGCAACAGAATTACAAGATTCTCGCATACCTACTTCTTTAAAATAGGAGGATAGACTTTAAAACAGAAGAATTATCCTTTCTTTCCAAAAAGCCTTGTTGTTAATCAGACTCTCTCCTTTCACTTAATCTCATAGTTTACTGCGTGTGAAATCCCAGGGATGGTTGAGGTCCCCTGTGGCCCCAGAGACTCCTAAGATGTCCCTTCTGGGATGCGCTTGATCTCAGGGAGCAGCATTTCTGTTGGTCTCACATACTATGTGCATTTGCTCATGTGGCTTTTAATCTCTAAAATAATGTTTGTCACATGTTTCTCGTTTTAGTGATTATACATATTTATTTTAGAGGTTTGGATACTGTGGAAACATAAACACAAAAAAATCCAATAATTTGGAGTCCTACTGTTTGGATATAGCTACTGTTCATATTTGGTGAGTCGAATGGAACTCACAGTTTTGCTTCCTCCTTTCTTTTCAGTTAATTCACATGATTATTCAGTATGCAAATATTAATGCTATGGGAAGCACTATATTTTTTAGTTTAGAGTCCCTTGTGGTTTTCTCTGGGAGTTCCTAGGATAGCATAGGAAATAGTGATTTTTTTTTTTTTTTTTTTTTTTTTTTTTAACACAAGAACATTTGGATAGGTGATATTGGCAGTAGACGTGCAGAGGTTCAATTTTGCTTTTAGGAAGATGTGGAAACCTTGATGAAATTATGTCTGGTAAATTAAAACTGAAATACTATTTTTAAAGTATGTTTTTGTGATAAGTGAAAAAGGTATTTTGTAGAGGTTTAGATATCTTCTTTCTAAATATATCATGTTCACCATATCATTTTATTCTTAAATTGAGCATATTTTACTTATTTTCTTTCCAAATGTACAAAACTTTATTTTAAAGAAGCTAGTCACTTAAAATCAGATAAGATGAATGAAGTGCAGTCATCTTGGAAATGAAATGCTTAACCGCTTGAGGTAAACTAAAATAGTAGGGCACTTGTCCTCTTTGATTGGGTGGTAATTTACTTCAGATTGGTGAATGCTTGGCTTCTAAGAAGATGTAAATTTTACTTTAATATGTTCTCACTTATTCTCCATGTTGAATTATTTTCTTATGATATTGTAAGTGTTTTGAAATAAACATAAGAAAGAGTAATTGCCTAATTAGTATGGCTGAGTAATAAATAACCTTTTTTCTTTTTGATATTGTAGTTGACTCATGTTGACCAAGCAAGCTTCCAGGTTGATGCCTTTGGAACGTCGTTCATTCTTGATGTCGTGCTAAATCAGTAAGTGTTGAGCTGCACTTGCTTTTGTCAGATACACATTAAATCCACTTTCTTTTCCACTTGTAAAGTTTTTTCTTGCTATATTTTACTTCATCTTCCTATACCAGTTAAATATTACATTTGAAACTATACTTGTTGACTGTAGGTTATAAAGTCTGGCAGATAGCAAGAAATGTATATTCATTTGAAATTGAGCACCTATATTAGATTTAATAATGTAAAATGAAAGGCAAGAGTTACCCCAATATTTTTTGTAAGAATATCTATAGCTTAAGTTTCCTGTGAATGACAGTAAATTATGAAAATAATACTTTGGGTATTGAAGTATCTTCCTTGAGAAAATCAGGAAAAAGAAGGTTGCACTTTTTGATTAATGATTCAGAGGACTGGCTGCATGATAGGTGATGCTAAAATACCTGGAGTTCATTAGATGCGTTGATATGGTGGTGGATTTCTGTGAGGTTTCTGGTCCTGGAATTATCCTGTGAATACAATATAATTTTAGAAATAGTTGTCTACCTAGAATTTTAGGTTTGGAAGGTGCTTTTGATTTGTTGCTGGATTTAATCTCTTTCATTTGGTCTAAATGTAGTGTTTAATAAATCTGACTAGTTACTGTTCACTTTTTTAAAAAAGGATTTCTATCCTACTTCTGATCATGGGCAAGTAGGCAGATACCAGGATTCTGTCAGGCCTATGCTTCTGAGCTGGGCAGCATTGGGCCATAGTTTTCTGGAAGCATTTCTACAACCGTTCAGGAAAAAAGTCTGAGGCCAGAAATTCAGGCAAATTGACCAAGAGTGAGAATTAGAGCCTAAGTTGTCTGCAGTGGGGAATCAGCTAGATGGAAGACTGTCAGTTAATTTAAAAAAGCGTGTAAGAGGCAAGACTTAGGACCATGTTATCTGGATAGGTAGCCATTAGCCACTTGTGGCTGTTTAAATTTAAATTAATTCATTCAAATAAAATTAAAAATTCTGTTCTTCAGTTGCATTAGCCACATTTTAAATGCTCAATAACCCTCTCTGCCTTCACTCTCTCATCTACTTTACTACCTAGTCTCCTTCTCTGCTTCATTTTAAAAATAATACTTATCACCATTTAATATATAGATGAACTCTTATGACATTGTCATTTTTATAGGTCAAAGAAGTTTGACTACCATTATTGATGCATGGCCATCTAATATTTGATATTTTGATTATTTATTTGGTCTATAGTCTTTTTCCTACTCCTAGAATGTAAGCTCCTTGAGGACAGAGATTTTCTTTGCTTCACTGATATATCCTTAACACAGTGTAGGGGCTAAACTCCAGGCTGAGAGTCATATTGACTCAGAAACCAGAGGATAGGATTAGCCAGGAGACAGAGGTGAAATGACCAGGAGAGGAAGAGTGAAACAGCAAAAAAGAAGATAAATGTTTGAGACTAGCTTCTGAAAGCCACATGTAGATACTAGGTGTGATTTGGAAAGTCAAATTCTTAGGTCTCTATTTTAATAACTCCCTTCCATCCCTCTTTGAAATCATTGTCCCTGTTGCTAATCTGTGTTTTCTGCTTCCTGACGTTTGTAATTCCTTGACTTTTAATACTCAAACAAAGAATGGATATTTATTCACGTCCATTCTGGCCAAACTGCCTCACTTACTTTGGAGACATCCGAGTCCAAAGACTTTCTGTTCCTGAAGGAGACACACATATGGTCATACTTATCAAAGCATGAAGTTTGGAATACCGGGGTTGAAGCAAAATTTCTTTTGAGATATTGGCAGAAACTTCAATTGGGCATTTTTCTTTCTATTTCAATGCAAATTTGCAATTACAAGACATGTAAACAATTAAATAAGAGCATAAATGGAGGTAGCCTGGGCTGAGAAACATGCAGTGTGCTCATTTTTTTTTTTGCCTGGGATCAATATTAAACATAGGTGGCAGGTAGCTGTTATCTTTATACTATAAAAATCATGATGTGATACAAAAATGTTCATCTTATTTTTATGTAGAATGTTTTTGTTTCATGGTTTTAGTTTGTGTATTGTCTTAAGTTGGTTAAGGAGCAGGAACGTGAAAAACAATATGTTCTTTAAACTTTTTTTTTCTTATGAAGCAATTCTGGGGCTGTGGAACATACAGAAATTTTTTTTTAACTGGAGGAAAATTAAATAAGTCTATGTGTAGCTAGTTTCTGGTTGCAGAATGGATCCAATATTACATATTTTTTGATTGCAATGGCTGGAAAAGTATCATTACATAATGTTTCTTCTTAATGTTCAGTGAATAAAATTATCTATAAGTAGATTATACAAGAGTTTAACCTTTGAGTAGTAACTTCCACAGGAGGCTGATAAAAATATGGAAAGGTTAAAAATGAAAAGCACAGCCAGTTTCTGTTTCATTAAAATTATCAAGAAAAGGGTGGGGAGTAGTTTTTCTTCATGGGGTCATAGTTGTCAAATTTCACTCTTTAGGACAGATGTATTAACAAAATCAAACATATGGCCTGGTCTGGCCACACTAGTCCTGAGGCTGCATTGGACCTTTCCAGAGGTCAGCAATAAGTCTTATACTTTATTGTAAAACATTCCTCAGAAAGAAGAAAGCTCAATAAGGACATGTAACTATTATCTGAGCGATTCAGTCCAGTTTTTTTTTTTCTTGTACATCTCCTGTTCTTGAAGAAGTGGATAATTAAACTGCTCCAAACAATGCAAGGATGTTGAAAAACATTACCTTTCAGGAGAACTATTTGATCCTTTACAACAGGGGACCTGACAAAAACCATGCGTAGCCCCCCAGCAAAGAAGCAAGCACTGTCTTTGGACTGTGGTTGGTTGTTTATGATGTGAAATATATAACAATTAGAAAAAAAATCTTTTATAGCCTGCTTTTTTTGGAAGGGATTCTGTTGTACAGCTCTCAGATCTTGGATGGTCCAGTGCCTAAATTTTGAGTGTATTTTACAGATTCTCAGCTTCTTGCCTTATTTCAATAACGAAATGGTTTTTCTCACTGTATGATCCTTATAGCAGTCTTCTTTTCCCCCAGTTTTACAGTAAGTGGTGGGAGGACAACTAGGAACTGAAGCATGACAGATGTCAGCAGATGGGGTTGCCCCTGAAGAATGGGAGGTGGCATGGAGGTAGGGAATAGGGAGAGAGAGAAGCAGAAGCAGGGTTAGACAAGGAACTCCCAGATTCTGTTCAAAAGAGCACATTTAGTCTTGCTTTCTCTCATTTAGAGAAAGCATTTCCAATAGTTACCTCTTGCTTGCTTTACACTGTGGCCCTTGAATTTGTAGGGAAAGTAAGAATCACCATGGATAAAAGACAGGATCTGAATTCAATGGGAATTGAAAGTTAGATCTGGAAGAGTCTCATCATGCTATATTTACAGTGTGGCTGCTGATGATGATAAAAATAAGTGATGAGGATAAGATTATAATTAAATGATGATGTTATGTGATGATAATGAATAACAATAGATAACTCACTGTTATTAATAAATCTGTAACTGAATGCTTCGCTGTTCCACTGAATTCATTATGGTGAATATTTGTTTCCATCTACATTTAATACAAAGTTATTGTGTATAAGACAGATCTGTGTTTGGAGTAGTTTGGAATCCTTATGTTCATTTCATATATATATACACACACACACACATGCACACCCCATATATAGGAATATACATATACATATAAACATATATACATACAGATATATGTATACACACACACACACGTTTTCTAAGCTTCTAGTAATGCTAAAAGCTTCTCTAGACCCTGAAGACTTAGACTTGATAAGAAAGGAAACAAAGACTTTACTCTTAGGAAATTTGCATCTAGCCAGAGAAACAAACAATGGACATTTTAAATAAGGTAATTTCAGAGAGTGACAGTGCCATTTATAGAGAGTGCCTGGTGTGAGGACGAAAATAGCGCCTTCGAGAATTTGTTGTCAGGGACAGGCCATCTCTAAGGAGGTGGCATTGGAAAGTAAGGGGCCCCCATGCAGAGGGAACAGCAAGGGTCAGGGCCCTGTGGCAGGAACAAGCTTAGCATGCTTGAGAGACAGAAATGTGGCTAAGGAGGTTGGAACAGGGATAGCCAAGTTATTAAATGCGGATGGAAAAGTAGAAGGAACTGAAATATCTAGGGCCTTGTGGGCAACAGAAAGACTTTGGGTGAAAGTCTAAACAGAGGTTATTGATTTTCCCCACACCATTTGTTGCATTATTCACTCCTTCCCCTACTGGCTTATAACGTTTATTCATCAGATTCAGTTATTACATACATTTATTATTATTATTATTTTGAGATGGAGTTTTGCTGTCTTTGCCCAGGCTAGAGTGCAATGGTGCGATCTCGGCTCACTGCAATCTCTGCCTCCCAGGTTCCAGTGATTCTTCTGCCTGAGCCTCCCGAGTAGCTGGAATTATAGTGCACCACCATGCCCAGCTAATTTTGTATTTTTAGTAGAGACAGGGTTTCTCCATGTTGGTCAGGCTGGTCTCGAACTGCTGACCTCAGGTGATCCACCTCTCTCGGCCTCCCAAAGTGCTGGGATTACAGGCGTGAGCCACCACGCCTGGCCCAGTTATTACATATTTTAATGTTTTTTCAAAGCAATGTCTTCTGAAGTTCTATTCATTGATTTTTAGGGCTTAGTACCATCATACTATTTATTGTAGCTTTATAATGTGTTTTAATAGCTAGTATGGAAATACGTTCCATTATTAGTTTTCTTTTGCAAAATTTTCTTAGATTTTTTGCCTCTTTTAAAACAGAAATTCAGAATAATTTTGTCGTTCTTCCTTTACTGGACTGTCACTTTATTGAATTTATTGGACTGTCACTAAACTTATATTTTAATTTGGAAAAAATAGACATTTTTACAGTGCTGAATCTTCCCATCCAACATCACAGTGTATTTTTTTAAATGTTAAGCATTCTCTTATATGTCAGTAAAATTCAGTATTTTTGTTTTTATAGGCCCTGAACA